TGTGGAACTGTACAGGGCTATTGTTATTGTATATTGTGCTTCATAATGTGTACAGGCCAGTCTAGGACCCACACTCTCTGATTACACAACCATGCTGTTGTACCATGTGCAGAATGTGCATTAATGCCACAACTGACCCTGGCCTTTGAACTTTATGCTGGTAACATTAAAGGTGGTCCTTTTCTAGTTTGGCCCAGAGACAACAATATACATTATTTTCATAAAAAAAATTACAATATCCAGTATTTCCAGGTGAAACGTGTCGATACTGTGCATTAGTCTTTTTCAGATGAGCATGAGGCCAGAGAAGTCGGCAGCATTCCTGCACATTGTTAACATATGATTTCCACTGTACATGGGACAGTCTTAACTTTGTTAAAACTGTTAAATTTGTGGTTGCAGCAACAAGCGGCATTTATTGACAACATTTTTTTTTAAATATTCCTGGGACCTATGTGGTATTACCCATCACAGAAGCATTCTAGTTTTTAATGCAGAGCCATCTGATGGATCAAGGGTCACAGAAATTCAATTATGGTTTTACACTTGCTGTTTACATGCTGTTTCCATACAGAGGTTTTTTTGGATTTTGTGAAACGTTGATGATATCACGCACCACAGAGAGTGAAACACTTAAAATCCTTGCAATATCTTGCATACTGCACACTTAATACAAATGACATAATACAAGCTTAGAATATAGCAACATACTGCAGCAAACCTCTACTGGCTGGTGCTGGTCTCTAGATGCTCATGAGATGGCCATGCTGATGGCCGTGGCAGACGTGTTCGTCCGTTAAAGCTATGTGGTATGTGTTTATTGTGTTGTTCTGTGTCAGGGAGTGGGTTTAGTAATGTGGGTTGGTGGTCTCTCTGAGGGTGAAGTGTATGGTTAGTTGAGACCTTCTCCATGGATGTGTGCTTCTTCATCTCTTTTTCTGCCCTTGTGTTTTACAAAGACCACTTCTTGTGGTGGAATCATGGCCTCCCCTGTGGCTTACTCTACACTGATGTCAGTGTCACTGGTGTCAGGGATGCCACAGAGCCCCAGGAAGGTGACCATTGTTATGTACTGCAGAAACTGACTTTTGTGATGAGGTCACAAGTAAGATTTCCTTCTGACAAATCTTCCATGCAGATCATATTTGTGTAAAGTAATATTTTACACTAGAACTATGCACCACCACTCCTGTTCTCTTTGTAGTCCTGTTCTCCTGCTTTGTAGGCATCAATTAGCTTGATTGTTAGATCCTCAGTCAGCCGCTTTGAGGAGCCCATGGTTGTTGAGTATTAGCACTAAGATTTGAAATGTCAAAAAATGCATTACTCTTTGGAATTGTCATCATCTGACAATTCCTATTGACAATTCATAACCTGTCTAACTAGTCCAACCAATTAATCTGCCTTACCAGACCAAGTCAGTTAGGTTCTGAGATTTTTGCATGACACAAATACTATTTTAAAAATGTTTTAATACGTAATTAATGTAAGTTAATTAATCATACACACATGTATGACTGTGTGTGTGTGTGTGTGTGTGTGTGTGTGTGTGTGTGTGTCTGAGTGAGTGATGGTAGGAATGCATGGTTTATTTTATATTATTTTATTTATTTAGTTATATTTTGTATTTATTTTATTTTATTCACTACATGTAAATGTCTGTCTGGTACTGTGCACTGTGAGCTCCAATAACCAAAACCAAATTCCTTGTATGCGTAGCATACCTGTCCAATAAAGCTTGATCAGATTCTGATTAAGTTAAGAAAATATAAAGTAAATGTCACCTGACATTTGTAGAAAAATGTTGGTAGCGCTTTAGAGTGGGCAATTACATGGTAATAACATTGTAATATTATGGTAACAAGTTGTATTAACCTAAAAGTCACATGATCTTAAAGTACTAGCTTAAAATTGACATGCTAATTTCTATTTGTTAATAATAATTAATGAAAAGTTAAGATAAAGACCTAAGAACATAAGATAAAGAAAAATAAAAAAATAAAAGATGTATGTGGTGTGATGTGTTCGTTTTTTTTTTTCTTTGTGCTGAAAGGATAACACTTTACTAGAGCGCTGCAGCGTAAGCTTGCTTTGACATAAGCTTGACAAACGTAAGAAAACAAATGCTGTCAGCAGTCATGACAGAAATATTAACAAAATCATGACAGATTTCTTTCAGTAATCTGACAGTCATGTGAGCCTTACCTGTCATGATAGATGCCACAATGTTTGATATCATGATGGTTATTCTTACATGCTGTGTACTAGTGTTACCCATCATGACATGAAACATGACATTTATGGTAACAGTTACTGATTACGGTAACATGACACTGTTATATTTTTTGGACCCAATCTAACATGACAATAGACCAGCCATGACATGTTTATGGCATGAATATATGTCAATGTTCTGTAGCAGGGTTCAAGTAAAGCATTAGCAATGAAAGGTTGCCATACTGTGATTTCATCATTGTCAATTACCATGCAGTCTCACTAATTCCAGACACTAAGGCCCAATCCCATTTCTTATTTTTACCCCTACCCCTTGTTTTCGAGTGTCACCTTGCCCATTGGAACTGAGTTGAAATCTTTCCAACGCAAAACACACTTACACACCACCACCACGTCAGTGTTACTGCAGTACTGAAAATGATCCACCACCCAAATAGTACATGCTCTGTGAGGGTCCATGGGGGTCCTGACCACTGAAGAACAGGGTAAAAGGGGGCTAACAAAGTATCAGAGAAACAGATGGACTACAGTCTGTAACTGTAGAACTACAAAGTGCTCCTATATAGTAAGTGGAGCTGATAAAATGGACAATGAGTGTAGAAACAAGGAGGTGGTCATAATGTTATGCCTGATCGGTGTAGATATAACTTATGTAGTCTTTGCCACATTCATTTATTTGTTTCACATAATTTTGTGATGCATTTCTTACTTAATGTAATTAATGTTTTTTTTTTTTAACAATTTATTATTTGTGCCCAATTTTTATTCAATTGTTTATGTTTGCTTTTAAGGCACTAATTAATTGCTGTCTTTATATATATATATGTATATGTATATATGTATGTATATGTGTGTTTGTGTGTGGTGGCTGCTCAAGGAACTCAATTCAATTTCAATTTAGATATTATGTTTGCTGTTTATTTCAGAAAAGCCTACACACTGTGTCATGCTACTTTTTCCTAAGCTCTGAGTAATGTACCAACCATGTTGTACTGTAATAATAAACATTAATTATAAACCATTTTATAATTGCTTATTTATTGGTTATTAAATACACATTCTTGTATCTACATTCCATTCCATCAGCTCCACTTACCTTATAGGTGCACTTTGTAGTTCTACCATTACAGACTGAAGTCTGTGCTTTATCTTGTTAAAACTACAGTTTAAGCCATCCAAAGTATTCATTCGTAACATTTATGAATGCTGTGCAAAAAAAGGTTTTCATTACAAAATCTGATACTTACTGTCTCATCCTTATTAAAATATTAATCATAATAACACATTCAGTGAACGGTGTCTTTTAGTCTGTCATTAAATTTCAATATAAAGAAAAGATTTTTTTTTTTTCTGCATGTTGATTTTAAATGTGACCATTGATCTCATGGACCAACTCAGTGGAGGGTGAGGTGGGTTATGTCATTGCATAGACTAATCGATGAATTTCTGAAAAAAAGGTCACCAACATGTCAGGCGTTCCTTGATGTTGGGTCCATTCTTTGTAAAATCAGCAACTGTCTTTAGTTATAGAATGGTATTGTAAACATCCCCACCATCGTATCTCTCCTGAGCTGGCCGACCCTGTAACAAATGATGAAATCTTGAATATTACATGAGTTAATAAGGTTAGGGGTAAACTAACCACTCATATCTCAGTGGGAGGGTTCGTGCTTATGTATACTGCCCAAAAACTGGCCAATCTTACTGATCAGTTTGATTTTGCAGATCTCAGTCTATTTCAGATGGATGAGACAGATTATATGCAAAACATCACCATTCAATACTGTTTTCCTTACATTAACTCTTCTTGCAGAAAGGAGGTGCGAACAGGCCCTGGGAATTTATTTTTGTTTGTTTTTCTCTCTTGTGTATCTGTGTTCACTGTGTTTCTGAACCTGCTGGTGATCATCTCCATCTCTCACTTCAAGCAGCTCCACACTCCAACCAACCTGCTCGTCCTCTCTCTGGCTGTGGCGGATCTTCTCGTGGGACTGTTTGTTATGCCTGTGAATGTAATAGGATTCATAGACTCCTGTTGGTATTTTGGAAAAATAGGATGTTCTATTTTTCCACTGATCACTTTTATCTCAATGTCAGCATCTCTCTGTAGCCTGATTTTCATTGCAGTTGACCAGTACATTGCTGTCTGTGACCCTCTGCTTTATTCCACCAGAGTCACAGTTTGTAAAACCTCATTGTTAATCATTCTGGGCTGGTCTTTATGTCTGCTTTATGTCACCATGTATTTGTACTTTAATGATCATCTCTTTCAATCTCAGATATTCACTAGATGTGATGGGGAGTGTGTCCTGGTCCAAAAATATTCCTGGGTGATGATTGACCTAGTGTTTTCCTTTCTGACCCCTTGCTCTATTATACTGGTCATGTATGCAATCATTTTTAACGTGGCGCGACGTCAAGCTAGAGCTGTTAGAGCTGTGGTAAATGCTGCCTCACATAAACTTGGAGTTAAAGTTTCAAGCTCTTCTGATACCAAAGCAGCAAAAAAAATAGGCACTGTAATTTTTGTTTATCTTGCTTGTTGGATACCATTTTATGTAACTTCTCTTTCAGTTAAAAATGTCTCATCCCTATCAATAGTGTGGACTGTGTTTGGCTGGCTACAACTTATTAACTCATCTGTGAATCCATTAATGTATGCCATTTTCTATTCATGGTTTAGAGCATCAACTACGTATATTATAACTGGCAGAATATTTGAAAACTCATCTTCAAGATTTAATTTGTTTCCAGAGAATTTTTAACTTTAGGCTGCCAAAAAAGTCAAGACCACTTCACATCATTAACCACATTAGAGTATCATAGATACAAGCATTGAAATTTAAAAAGAAAGAGTTGTTGGCAAATAAGATACAAAAACTGTGTACAGAGAGTAGGGGGGCAGAAATGAGTAGCCATAAGGCTTTGATTTATAGATAATGTTTTCAGTTACAGGTCGTCATGTATGCTGATCATATTCAAGCCTATTTTTATTTATTTTTATTTTTATTTATTTTTTTTAAATCATCATCTAGACTAAATAATGACTCAGCACTGGCAACTGAATATTAGTATCTTATGTAACATTTATGTGTTTGTATATGTTGTGTGAGACTTTTACCACTTTTGTGAATGTTCTTGATTTTTATCATAATTTTATATTTCTGTATACGATGCATACATTTCTGTCAGGCACTTGTCTGTCAGAGGGAACAGTACTTTGCTTTTAACTTTGTGAATGCAACTTAAACATCCCATGATTAGTGAATTCAGATGATGTTGTCATGTACCTTAAAAAATGCATCATTATGTCAATCAGAACAATAGGCCACCTTCACCAACCGTTCTTAAGAAGAAATTTTTTTCTCAAAATCCACTTATCCAGTTTTCTGACCAAGATTCTGACCTTCAGCGATGTTTTCTTATTTGGGATTTGTTCTTAGGTAAGAACAGAATCTACACACACTCAACAGCACAAAAATACAAACAGTTCTGTGGTTTAAGAACACATCATGAATCTGACTTAGATTTTTTCTTAGGACCTTTTCTCAAAAACAAATCTAAGAAAAAAACCTAGGATGATATCGGTGAATAGGGGTTATTTTCTAAAAGTTTGACAACTTGGACAAATGAAAACAGCTTAAATATCACTAGGCTGAATCTGAAAAATTTCACAATCTTAATATTGTTTGTCAGTTGCTTATTTCTATTATGATACAAAAATCAATATATGTATGAAATCGATACCTATTTCTGTATATCATAGTTTGTTTATATTTGCCAGTCCCTCATGAGCACCCTGTTTCTTCATGAATTAGGATAATAGCACTGTCTGTCTGAGTATTTAAATACAAACGTTATCAATGATCACACAGACTGGGTTGTTTTAAGCATGATGTGTAAAACCTTAACAAACAGAGATGAAAACAGACTTCAATCAACAAACCATATCTGTGATTTGTTAAGATGTATGTCCATTACACTTTTTTGATAGGTTAATGTCTCACAGTATTATGGCAGACACAATCTTGAATGACTAAACCCAAGCAAGTTTTAACATGGTGTCAGATTTTATTACCTATGCTTATAGATCATGAATGGACTAAGATGTTCCACCTTCAGTTATCAGTTTTTTTTGCAAAAGTACTTGGATCATAATTTTACTAAAGTGAGTTTTACTTGAGTATGACCCACAAACAAATTAATTTCAAAAAATCTCATGTGCAAAAACTTGCATGTTATGAGAGCTTATGAGGCTTTTGATTATGGGAGATGAGTTCTAGAATTTCTCCCATAATCATATTACACCTAAAAATGGGTCACCTATATGGCAGTCTGAGGGTTATGGGGTATTAGACACTGTTACATTCTTAGGTGGCCATTTGAGTATCAGATGAGTGAATCATTTCAGGGATAAAACTAGCCACTTATTCGGCAGTAGAAGATTCATACTTTGGTATAAAAACACATGGCAAATGACCAAATCATCAGTTCAGCATTACTAACCAACACGCTGGATCAATTCCAATTGGCAGATCTGTATCTAATTTAGATGAATAACACACAATATAGGCAGTGCATTACAGTTAAACACTGATTTTTCTCTCATGTATGTCTATGTGTGCTGTGAATCTCAATCTCCCACTTCAAACACTTAACTCTTAGTCTTATGTTGGTATCTTAGAAAAATGGGATTCTGTATTCTTGTAGTCATCAGTTCTGGTTCATCATCAGCATCTGTCTGTAGCCTGATTTTCATTGCAATTGATCAGGTCATTGCTGTCTGTGTCACTTTGATATATACTAAAGTTACACATTTTAACATGGAGCACTTTCTTATTCCTTTCAAATAACAAAATAAATAAATAAGTAAAGAAAAATTAAGAACAAAACAACGAATGTAAGGAAATGTCACGCATTCAGCCAGTCCTCAGATGGACAAGGACTACATCTCCCAGAATCCTCTGAGGAATCACGTGGCGGAGCTACTTCCCTCACACCCGGAGTCTGACTCGGACTCCAATACCCAGACTTCCCAGCGAAGTCACATGACTCCTGACCGGTCCTCATGCTCCTATCAGCGTTCACGTTCACCTGAATACTAATATGTTTCAGCTGTGTCTATGTCATATGACTCAGATAGTTTAGTTTATAAGCCCGGGCTTTAGCCATTGTTAGTTACAGAATACCTCGCCTAACATGCAGACGGCAGATCCAGAAGCTTTTCAAGAAGCTTTGACGGAGCAAGGACAACTCCTCGGCCGACATCAGCAGGTTCTCTCTGGAGTGACTCACTCGCTAGAATCACTAGCCCACCAGCAAGCAGAACAACAATCTCAGTTGGCCCAGCTGGTCGCCAGTGTTAAGGGCTTGAGTAGCCAACTGCAGAGTCTAAATCTGACGGAACCAGAGGTCAACATCGCTACTCCTGTGGCTCCCGTTTCGAACACTCATGCAGCGTTCCCGGTTAGTAAACCAGATAAATTTGAAGGAAATCCTGACAAATGCCGAGGTTTTTTACTCCAGTGTTCTGTTTTCTTTGATAATTCCCCAGCCAGTACTGATCAGGCCAAGAGAGCATTCATTGTTTCTAGGCTAGCCGATAAAGCGCTAGAATGGGCTACGGCCAGCTGGACACACATTCACTGCTTGTCATAATGTTCAATTTCTCACTGAATTCAAGACAGTGTTTGATCACCCTGTACGAAGGTAAAGTTAGTGGGGAACTATTGTCAAAACTTCATCAGGGCAGTCGCACAGTAGTAGACTACTCATTAGAATTTTGAACCCTAGCAGCCAGTAGTGGCTGGAATGAAGCTGCCCTCTTAGTCATGTTCTGTCAAGGACTAAACACTGACATTTTGAATGAACTTGCATGTAAAGATGATGACTTGAACTTAGATCAACTCATTAATCTAGCTATCAAGGTAGATCATCTCTTGCATCATCGCAATAAACCCACGTCGGAAAGAAACACTAGAAGGGTACTCTAGCGAGTCAAAAGCACACCTGAAACCAGCGAAGCCCCAGAACCCATGCAGTAGGGGTGGGAATCTCTAGGCACGTCATGATTCGGTTCGATTACAATTCAGAGGGCTGCGATGTGATTATAAAACGATTAACGATGCATCTCGATGCATCTTTTTTTTTCTATATAGCATTTATATTTTCTCACTGTGTGAGCTCAAGTTTCGAGTTCAAGTTTATTTGTCATTTGCACAACATGTCAGGACATTTATGCATTGAAATGCTTGTGGTGAAGCTCAGCTAATCACTCTACAGAAAGTAAATATGTAAAAATAAAAATACAAGATAAAACAACTGAAATATATTAAATATACACACAATATACACAGAATATAGCCACTTTAAAATGTATATTGTCTCTAAGTGACTCGGTGTTACTGTTATTTAAAGTGACTTGGTACTTTTAAAGCAAAGTATTTGTAATGATCCATAATGAATTTAACTAGAAGGCTCTCATTCACTGCTCTTGTTTGGAGCACGAGTGTCAGTAAAGTATCTTTGAAACGGGACATGTGCAACATAGAGCGAAAGCCCTGTTTCTCAATGACTGAGAACTGGTGTGCAGACTGCATGTCACACAGTAGCGATACGTTATTCGCATTTATAAGCAGCGCAGTTGGTTTCCTGGTACGTTAAATCTGCAACGAGAGACTGTCACACACTAAAAAGTGGCGAAGCTGAAGTCGCTTCTCTTTCAAATTCTCCCATTCCACCTTAAATGGTGCCGCATTTACATTCGGAGGCTCCGTCAGAATTTAAGGTGCAACGGGTGAATTCGAACAAGAAGCTGGAGAATAAGAAGCAACTTCAGCCTCGTAAAACAGTCGAACGTTGAGAGACATTTAACTGATCTACTTCTGAGGAAAAATTTTCCGGCGGAGATGGGAGGAAAGTGGCTGTAGGCGAAGCTTAAAGCAGAGCGAAGTAAATCTGCGTTTTAGTTTATATTGTTTAGTCCATACTAGGACATTATCACATACTGACACATACTGGACATTAAATGTTGTGGCTCCCAAGGTGGTTTGATTTTTGTTGAAAGGACAAAATGTTAACATTTGTGTTGTGACTCCTGACCTAACCTGGCTTTAATGCAGAGGGAGCCGGTCGGATTTCTCCCTCATCCAGTTGTGTTTTTGTTATGTGCCACCACAGACTGTCCGGGCGCTGCACGTCCGCACTTCCAGTTCCGCCTTTTGCGTTCCGTCAACATTACGTTATAAATGAAATATTTAGAAAATCGATTTTTGACATTTGTGAATCGATTCAGAATCGTTCATGTCCGCATCGTGATGCATCTAAGAATTGATTTTTCCTGCACCCCTACCATGCAGTGTGACTCATCTCGACTGTCACCTGAAGAGAGACTTTGTAGGTTAAGAAATAACCTTTGTCTGTACTGTGGGAACGCTGGACACCAGGGTCGTGATTGTAAGGCGAAGCCCCGAATAAGCAAGGCACCAACCCCTGGACAGCACGTGGAGTATACTAATGTGGTGAGTGTTCCCACAAAGGGGCTTGGTTTCAAAGTCGTTTCTGTTACCTGTCAATATATACATATATACGTCATCCTCATTCTCTTGTTCTTTCAGCCCTCATGGATTCCAGAGCAGAGGGAAATTTTATCCATGCACGGCTATTGGAGCAACTACAGATGCCTGTGGAGAATCTACAGACTGTCTTGAAGGTGACTGCCTTAGATGGAGGACCAGTAGGGGAGGGGACCGTTTCCAAGATCACT